TTCCTCTCTGAACTTGTATTCACTTTGTTTAGGTTCAATTGGAGTTCAGTAGGAGTCCAGTAGGAGTCCAGTAGGAGTCCAGTAGGAGTCCAGTAGGAGTCCAATAGGAGTCCAGTAGGAGGGGAATGTGAAAATGCTTTTTTGGAAAGAATGTTGAAATCCAGTAGGAATCCGGGAGTCCAGTAGGAGTCCGGTAGGAATAGGTGGAGGAGTGATAAGTATTGGAACAATCTCGAGATGTTTCCACAGGTCGAGATGTTTCCGCAGGTCGGCAATTCCAATAAGACGCAGGAACGGCACTCATTGGCCGAGTTAAATCAGGGTCGGAAGCGCTTGCGACACCTTTCGAGGACTTTGTTTTTTTGGCCAGACTTTTCGAAACCTTCGTGTGCTCCCTGGGTTCAATGGTACGGGGCTGCGGCAAAGCGCTCGAGCCTTCTAGGTTTGTGGCCTCCAAGTTCCCACGTCGACTCCAAGCAATTTCGAGATGTCCACGGTATCTGGGTCAATAAGATTAGAGGCCATCCCCCTACATAGTCGAAGATCAATATACGTTATAAATTGATAATCCTTATATTACTAACCTAAGGAGCGTTGTCAAAGCATGAAGTAATTTCTTGATGTCCGCTTGACTGTGCTCGATGACGCATTGCAGCAAATGATTGCCAGTGACGATGGTAGCAGCCTGGTTGGCCACAGGATCCCGAGGAATGATTACCCCGATCACGTCCAAGTCCGCCCTTCCCAACGCCGTTGCCTATGAAATCAGAATATCAGAGAAAGTTGCTGCAGATAAAGTCTTAAAACTCACCAAGTCTTGAACTTGATTAAGAGCCGATTTCGTCATCTTGAATTCGTTCTGCTCAACCTCCGGCCTAGCCTCTGCCAACTCTACGAGCATATTCTGCTGATAGTCCGCCAGCTCGTCCTCTGAAAGGTTCTCCGTGAGGATCTTGTACATCTGTGAGGCCTGGGTAGACCACGGGCGACCGGCAGCTAAAAATATTCCATGAATCCTCATAATCGGGACAAAAGATAAAAGACGTACTCTGTTGGGGATTGTAACTCTGTTGACGCAAGTACATCTGCCATACGTCCCACCAGGATGGCTCACGAGAAAGGGAGATATTGAAACACCCTTTTCATAGGACAGACTCGGCTGTACGGCCCATGTTCTTGCAGTATTCCACGATAGTGTCTGCAAGCTCCTTGACTTGATCCATTTCGCGAGCTGAGTAAGGGCCGTGCTTATCCTTCGGCGCAGGATTTGAACGTTTCTTTCCCAGTGCCTTTGCGCTAGCGACAGGGCGTGCATGAGGACTTTGGCCTGCACCCTCCACACCTGATCCCTCAGTGTCTCCTGAAGGCGTCCGTGAAGGTGGCTTACTCTTCACCAGACGACGTAAAGTCTGTGTGAACTCCTCTCCTTCATTGCGTGCCTCGATATTGTCTGGTGATGGTCTTTCGGCAGGTCGTTTGCCCTTCACCAAACGATGCCGAACGTGACTGCCCGTCCCCCTGGATCTGTCACCCTGTGGAGAACGGTTCTTCAATGGCTTTTTCTCCTTAATTCGACGACGCCAATCCTGCTCATCTACTTCCTTCATGATCAACTCGTCATCGGCCTCCTCCTCCTCAGTGTTCATTTCGTCGTGGCCGATTCCCCGAGTCTTTTGAGCATGTTGAAGTTGAAGCTTTTCAGCCTTCCTGGACTGGCTGTAGTCACTTGGAGTCAACGAAGACTCTATATATACGTGACCTTGGTCCTCCATCTGCGAGTTGGCCTCCGCATCAGGCTCGTCGTCCGGTATGCACTGCACCTGAGGGCGTTGTTTGGCATGGAAGATGAGGGCAGGCTGGCCCCTGCCTTGGCTTGACTCTGCATCCTGGCCGCCTTCTGCTTCGTGACCTGCCTCTGCTTCGTGCTCTGGCTTATCTTCGTTGCCTGGCTCTCCTTCGTCTCCGTCGCCTGACTCTGCTCCAACGCCTGACTCTGGTTCGGAGGTACGTCGGGCCTATTGCGTAAAGTGTAGAGACCATACGAACGAGACACAGCCTGAGTGGGGCCAGAAATGGGTGAAGAGGGCAGAAAACCTGACGAATCATCCCTGTAACATTTTCAGCAAGCACCCTAACTTAAATCAGTCTCAGATACGTACGTCGGAATGAGAGTGGAATTGATTGAAAACGGGCCCGCTGCTGGCGGGGAAACTCTTGCAGATGCAGCACTACAAGTCATGTTGAACAAGATGGAAATTCTCGTTTCATACACACTCACATCAACGTGGCCTGGACAGACAATGGCAGGCCAAAGCCAATCGACCCAGACATTCCCCTGAGCCTGAATATCAATGTCGTCAACATCTGAACTCGTGACCAGCACTCACCTGCCCCCCTTACTGTCTGCATGATGTACAGCTGTGGAGTTCAAGAACGTAGTCCTATTTTTGGGATCTCTGTTATAGAACAAGTCATCAGCCGCTACGGCCAGTTTATCCATGACTCTGTTGGCATTATCGTCAGTTATACATCCGACTAGTATCAATGTCCTAGCAACCAACCGATTGCCACGAGAGATAAGGTTCTGGGTGGGTGTTGCGTCTGGATCAGCCATATCAAGGACCCTATATAGATGTAAGAGAAATATTGGAGATGCGGAAGCAGCGAACAAGGAGTTAACGCTGAACCTGAGTGAAACGACAGGGAGTCAAATTTCACCCAGATGAGGACTCTCCGCGACAAGGAGTCAAGCAAAGAGCCCTGAGCAAGGGAAAGGAACGCACACTTGCTTGACGCCGTACGTGCGGTATGACTTCGTCTGGGTGAGCTTGACCACGGCGGAGTTGGGCTTTATCTCAGATGGCGCATCCTTCTCTCCCATGCCGGGCTTGGAGTTACTGAGATCCAAGTTCATCAATCTAGGATAATAGATTTCAGTGAAAAAATGTCAGGAAATAAGTATGAGAGCAATACCGATTAATGTCGGTGCTTGGCAGTGCTGTCAATTGACTGGCCGCATCCGTGGAACGTCCCAGAGACTGACTGGGTTCAATGTCGACCAGGGGCTCGTTGCCATCCTCCATCCCAATGAACCTGAAGTTCAGGATGAGTCTCACCCCCGTCAATCACTGCCAAGACCTCACCTGTTGATGTCCACCATTGGCGCGGACACATTGGGATCAGACTCACTAACCGGAATTTTCTTGACGGCCTTGGGATTATTTCTACACCCAAGCATTAGTGACTTTTTTTCCCTTTAGCGGCAAACGTACTTTTTGGCCCGACTGGGCCGGGAAGGTGCTGGAGTAGGTGGGTCGTTGACGGTGGTGTTGACTACAGGATCAACGATCTTCCTGGCTCGGCTACGGGTAGGAGGACCTGACGCCAGAGTGGGTGCGGACTTGCCAATGACGTTACCGCCAGTATCAGCATCTGTCGCACTAAATTTACTTTGAGGTGAAAGGCCTCAACACAAAGGGTGATAAATCACCTCTCGTTGTCTGTACTCTGGGCCGCCTTCCCCGCTCCCTTCTGCAAATTTTTTCAACATCGTGGCTACCGGTGACAGAGGAGTGTCTTACCTTAGTGGAAGCCTTACCTCTGCCCACTGGGGGTAGAAGAACGACGGGCTGCAACTTACGAGGGCGAAGTTGTCGAGGTTCTGACATTTTTGTTGTGAAATTTAGTTTTTTCATTTGTTCCAAAAAAATTGGAGGGCTTTTTGAGTGGGTTGGGTCAGCAATGCGTCCCACTTGTGTTTCTATATACTCTCACTTCCACGCGAGCCCAGGGACACGCTAACCCAAAGGGATTTTCCGTGGCATTGTGGCATGTTTGGGCGTCAGGGTAAGGGCGATGTAATATAGATACCCCCGAGATGAGGTCATTGTCGAGGGTTTCCAGAGACTCCAACCGGTTACTGCGAGGTCTGATGTTACTGACTGCGCTGGTCAGAGGGGTTGCATGTGGGAAATGCTGTTGCTGTCCCACTCTGGAGAGAGAGAGGCGAGAGCAGAGGGTCTACGCCTTCAGACTTCAGGCACGAGGTGGATTGGTATGAAGAAGATGATGTGGGATCGGTGCTGTCCAGCGAGTCTGTGCCAGATAATATATGAGAGAGGCACTGCGCAGATAAAATGGGAGAGAGACATGAGGATGATGATGACGCGGCATGTGTGACGTGAAAAGCGTCGGTTGGTGGCAAGGCCAGGGTCGACGTAGGTTGCATGGGGGGAGGCGAGAGTGGTGCCTGCGATTTGAGCGCTGTGTGATGCATGACCAACGGGGAGTCGAGGAGACCGCCATAACAAGTGGTTGAGGGGAATGACACGAGACCGCAAGCTGGTTCGTCTGGCTTGGGGAGACTCCAAACGTACGCCGAAGACGGCGAAGTTGATTCTCCCGCAGGAAGCGCAACGGGGCTTGAGATGTTCCGAATGGACGTGATTGAAGATTCCGTTTGGACGTGATTCTGTTTGGACGTGACTCCGAATGGACGTGATTATCCGTCTGCAAAGTCTGGTGAATTAGCTGAAAGTTATGGAGACAAATGAAGCTTACAGTCGCACACCGTCGTTCCTTGTCCGCGATGCTGACCCACGCAGCGTGAGGCAGTAACCACGTTCGTAGGCAATATTTACAGCAAGGCCCCCTCGTTGTACACTGAGAGTGGCAATTAGCACGAGAGATGAAGTTTAAAAAGAAGGAACCTACCCAACGCACAAGTTACTGAATACCAGCGCATACAGCGCTTACTGGCCAGCGTTGTTGGGTCAAGAGATAATGACCCCGTACGTTTGCACAAATCTATATGAAGCGTTGTCAGTGGTCTTCATTATTCGTCATTGCCATGACACATACCAAATCCAATTACGGTTCCCATATTCTAGGTGAGCCTCGTTATACTAATGGAGAGGAGACAAGGTGTCGCAGACTGAATCAGAGGGCGTATGGATTTTAACGTGAGGTCCAACTGTGTGAAATGTAAGGCACATCGAAATCTTTCAAGTTCCACGTCGAAACATACCATGAATAGGTCCGGCTAAATTGTAATCCGGAATCTACGCCAGCGAAAGAGGCTCGGGACTAACCAGGACTGACGATGGGCCGCGTTGATCTGACGACAGTAAGGAAACGACACGGGAAATCTGATAGAAACAATGAGCAGTGTGTTCAAGCATACCCTCTGAGTGAAAAGCAGCGACAAAGAGTCTAACCGCCAGAAGGAGAGGCCGACAGGGAGTCAAAGCCTTCGCAACGAGGACGACAAGGAGTCGAGTCCAGGTGCGCCAGAAGGTTGACAAGGAGAGAAGATAGCGTTACTCACGTTTAAGAGGACCAGCCGTCCATGGAATTTGGCAACGAGACGGCACGGGATTGGCACCCTTCATTCTGTTAGAACCAGTCAGTATTTGGTTCCAACCAGACCTTTGAGAGAACAGCGGCGACAAAGAGTCAAACCGCCGGAACGTTGAAGGGCCGACAGGTAGTCAAGGCCATCGCAACGAGGACGACAAGGAGTCGAATCCAGGTGCGCTTGAAGGTAGGCAAGGGGAGAAGAGGGTGTTACTCACGTTTAAGAAGACGACTTCGTCCACGGTGAAGAAAGGACGCAAGGGAATGCAGTGGAAAAGTGTCGGAGAAAGAGTGGAGTTAAAGTGGAGATAACACGACTCGGATCAGATTTTGATTAGATTCAAGATCTAGATGTAACGCTTCCAGACTCGGAGGTTTTTCCACTTACTTGTGCTCCTCGTCGTCCACTGCTTCACCGGCGTGGTGTTCGCTACTGAATACAGCTAGTACAATGTCAGCGGCCTTCACGATTGCGGTCTACTACATACTACAAGTTTCGTAGGTACAATTGTAAGGCGTCTGATGTACACGTGATACCATTGAACAACGTGATTGTTGTTGGGATCAATTCTATTCTATTCCGTTCCGTTACATTTCCACTCCTCTTCCTCATCCACGATAGGGTGTGCGCCAAACCAAGACGTGCCTCAAAACAGTGAGTCTTCCGTTGCATGTTACCTATCCTTCCGGGAACTTGACTCCTTGTCGTTCCATGGGTTTGGGTGAATTTTGACTCCTTGTCGATCCACCTTCAACCCACCTTCCTCACAAGTGGCTACCACCTTTATCATAAAACCAAGGCACTTGCCTGTAGAGCTGTGTGTATAAGTCCACAAGTTTTATGAAAGGCCTTTCATAGGTGTGTCCTGTGTCTTTCTTTCTCATAAAGGCTATGTTCTTTTCATAAAATGTAGGCAAAGACCACAGGACCCTTTCATAACATTTCTTAGGAGCTTTCATAATTATTATCATGCGCTTTCTATGAATATTTCATTGAAGCTGTTCAGTTCTTTCATTGTACTTTTCATAATTAAACCTGTGTGCTTTCAATAGGTATTTCATTCACTGGGTTAGGTGTATTCATTGCCTTTTTCATAATTAATGGTGTGCACTTTCATTGAATATTTCATTAGGAATTTTCGGTGCTTTCATTGCTTTTTTCATAATCAATCCAGTGTAATTTCAATAAATATTTCATTGACTATGTCAGGTGTATTCATTGCCTCTATCATATTTAATGGTGTGCGCTTTCATTGAATATTTCATTAGGAATATTGGATGTTTTCATTGTACTTTTCATAAGTAATGTTGTGTGATTTCAATAAATATTTCATTCTCTAGGTCAGGTGTATTCATTGCCTCTTTCATAATTAATGCTGTGTGCTTTCATTGTATATTTCATTAGGAATTTCAACCATTTTCATTCCCCTTTCATTAATTAATGCTGTGCACTTTCATTAAATATTTCATTATCAATTCTGGGTGCATTCATTGTGCATTTCAATAAATATTTCATTGGCTAGGTTATATGCATCCATTGCTTCTTTCATAATTAATGATGTGCACTTTGATTGAATGTTCCACAGCTTTCATTGGGATTTTTCATTGAGTATCTCTCAATATTTCATTCCAATTTCATATCTACCCCCAGGGCTATCATTATGATTTTTCATTATATTCCATGATAGCAATAAAATAGCTATTATGGTCCGCATTGGGAGGGTGGTCACATGACCAATTTCCAAAAATGGTAAAAAAACAAAAGTTGTAGCTCTTCACCATAGCTTCCTGAATCAGTTGGAATTATGTCCTAAAGTGCTTTCATTGTGGAGATATGAGGTAAAATGTTTTCAAAAGTGGCATGTTTTTTTTTTTTTTTTTTTTTGCATTTTTCTACATGAAAAGAACACTAAACAACATGATTTCAACAGATTTAGAAAGCTAAGAGAAGGGGCTACAACTATTGTATCATGGGAAATTTCACCCAAAAAGGAAGGTACATGCCCTAAAAGGGTAATTGACACTGACAGACTACAAAAGATTGCTGATATACTACAAAAGTCAGTTATAGCCTACAAAGTTTATTTATAGACTACAAAAGTCGGACATAGACCACAAAGGTCAGACAAAGACTATAAAATTAGTAGTGTCTGCTTTTCCCAT